TTTTTTTTTTTTTTTTTTTTTTTTTTTTGAAACTGGGTATTTTGCATCAAAGGCCTGGAGCAGAGCAGCCTCTGTGGGCCTGGACCCTGCATTCTGGGTCACCCCAGTCTCCACTCAGCCCTCTTCACCTGCTTGTCACCTGTCTGCCCCTTAGCAAGCAGCCTCTGAGTTTGAGACTCTCTGATGTTCATTAACTATTAAAGTGAGCCTTTTGGCAATTTTTTTTTAATGTTTATTTATTTTTGAGAGAGAGAGCACGAGCTGGAGAGGGACAGAGAGACAGAGACACAGAATCCCAAGCAGGCTCCAGGCTCCCACCTGTCAGCACAGAACCCGACGTGGGGCTCAAACTCACAAGCTGTGAGATCATGACCTGAGCTGAAGTCGGACGCTTAACCGACTGAGCCACTCGGGTGCTCCCATTTTGGCAATTTCTAAAAAAACCTGTTTTTAGGGGCACCTGGGCGGTTCCAGTCAGTTAAGTGTCCAACTTTGGCTCAGGTTATGATCTCACAGCTCGTGAGTTGCAGCCCCACATCGGGCTCTGTGCTGACAGCTCGGAGCCTGGAGCCTACTTGGGATTCTGTGCCTCCCTCTCTCTCTGCCCCTCCCGCCCTATGCTGTGTCTCTCTGTCTCTCTCTCTCTCTCTCAAAAATAAACATTAAAAAAAAATTTTTTTAGGGGCGCCTGGGTGGCTCAGTCAGTTGGGCGTCCGACTTTGGCTCAGGTCATGATCTCACGGTTCGTGGGTTCGAGCCCCGCGTTGGGCTCTGTGCTGACAGCTCGGGGCCTGGAGCCTGCTTCGGATTCTGTGTCTCCCTCTCTCTCTGCCCCTCCCCCGCTCAAGCTCTGTCTCTCTCAAAAATAAATAAACATTAAAAATATCTTTAATAAAAGTTTTTTAAGGAACAGAACTGGATTCTAATCTAAACCCTGTTTTTAATTAAGAAGGCTTTGCAGTCTGACGGACGTGCACCCAAGTCCCTTCTCTTCCACCCACTGGCTGTGTGACTTTGGTTAGGTGACCTAACCTCTCTGAACCTCGGTTTCCCTCCTCTGCAAAATAGAGGCTAAAACCAGGGTCCCCATGGGGAGAAGGTGAGAGGTCACAAGTAGAGGCCCCGCGAAGCCCCCCGTGGGGCCGTTACTGTTATCGTCAGGGTGTCTGAAGGTGCCCCTGCTGAGCAGGCCCTGCCTGGCCTCCTCAGGAGCCCTCAGGGCAGCGGTGATGGAGGGCCGGGTGTCTACGCAAACCGTGCTCCAGTCCGTGGCCAGTGTGGCATCCCCGTCTGTCTCTTCTCTCCACTAGGCCTTCGTCAAGATGGTTGGGCACCACGTCTCCTTCCTGGAGGCCCACGTGCTTCAGGCCGAGCGGGACCACGGGGCCTTCTCACAGGCTCTGCGGAGGTGGCTGGGCTCCTCGGGGCTGCCCTCCTTCAGGAATGTGAGTATCTCCCCGCCTCCCGCCTCCTCCCAGACCCCAGAGAGGGGAGAGGGGCTCAGGAAGTGGGAGTTCAAAGGGCATGTCTCACTTCCACAGACAGGAAACGGTGGCTGGCTGGCAGGCCCAGGTGGCTGCAGTGTCTCAGTCCCTCCCTGGGGCGCCTCTTCTCGCTCTGAGCTTGGAGCTTCAGTGCTGTGGCCGCTTGTGTATTCACCCACCATTTATTTATTGAGCACCTGCTGTTTGCTGAGCACTGTGGTCCATCTGGGGTTACCGAATTGAGCAGGGACAGCCCCTTCCCTCCTGTCCTGTCCTTGCACACATAAGGACGTGCTCAGGGTGACATTCACAATTCAGGGTGGGTCCTTCTGGAGGCACGAGTCGGCCTCAAGTCGACCAGAGGGGCCGGGGACAAGTGGAGGTCTGGGGACGGAGGGCCAGCCTGCATGTGGCCCTTTGTGACTTACAGAGGCCTCTCCTCTCCACATCTCTGCTTTCCCGGAATCCTCCCTACGACCCCAAAGGAGGGATCATTGTATCCCTTTTGCTGATGGAAAAACTGAGGCCAGACTGATCCTGCAGTGGAGACCTTCAGTGTTTAAAACACAGCCGTCTTCTCAACTTATCTGCTGGTCACCTGGTCCAGGGGACACGGGACAACGTCCAGAGACATTTTGGTTGTGACTAGATGTGAAGGGTGCTGTTGGCATCTGGTGATTAGGCACCAGGGATGCCGCTGAACACCCTACAGTGTGCAGGACAGCCCCGCTTCCCCCCCCCCCCACCACGGCAGGAGATTCTCTAGTTTGAGAAACCCCGCCCTAAGCTGCGTTTGATAATTGCAGCGACGGTTTCTGCCAGGTCTGTTCGAAGTGCTTTGTGTGCTGGGTTATGTGGCATCTCATTCCCATGCCAGGCTTTGGAGGAGGGATCTTTATACCACCCCCATTCTACAGATGGGAAGGATGAGGCTCAGTGGGGTGAAGGGACTCGCCCAAGGCCACATGACCTGGTGTGACGAGGCTGGGGTGGACCCTGGTTGGCCCCTCTCTGAGGCCTCTCCCTTCACAGCTCAGCCAGCCACCCTGTCCTGCCCCCCCAGGGGTTTCTCACTGTTCCTTGTGTCTGCCCGGGAAGCCCCCCTCCCTCCCACACCTCTGTCTGCTGCCTGCCTGCGTATTTCCACTGTGTTTACTGCGTGCCAGGCGCTGCACTGGGCATTTCGTACACGTTGATTCATTTACCTTTCCCAAACGTCGTGTGCCCTGGGCATCAGCATTATTCCGATTTGATAGGAAGGGGGATGGAGACTTGGTAGATTTCAGGGGTTGCGGTCTTATCGCCCACGGACAGAATGGAGCAGGTGAACTCGTTCTATTTGGCCAGGCAGTGTTATTTGAACAGTGTGCCTTGGGATGCCTGGCTGGGCTTCGCTGTCTAGTCCCTGCCAGGACCCCACTGCTCCGTCTTCTTTTACACCTGCCCGAGGCATGTGCTTCCAAGTGAGTGACTTGCCCAGGGCCAGTAACAGCTAGACAGTGGCCTCACCTGTCTCATGGTCTAGAAACTCCTGTTGATCCTTCAGAGGCTAAGTTAATGCCACCTCTTCTCAGAAGCCCTTCAGGATTGCCCCATCTCCAGAGAAATGCTATCTTTCTGCTTTCCAACAATGATGAAGTCAGCAGCTGTTCTTTTTTTTTTTTTTTTGTCCTCTCCCTTGAGATATGATGACCGTTCCCAGGTAAACAGGAACCCCAGTCGCCCCCAGGAACCTCCAGAGCACCCAGTGCTCTGCCCACTGAGGGCTTAGAAGCACATCGGGGGAGGAAGATCAGAGGACCGTGGCTGCCCCTGGCCCCCAGCAAGTATCCTAACAGTGGGACCTGTCGGGCCCTTGGTCTTTGTACTTTCCAGTCTTTTTCTGTGCCCTGCAGTTGTCCCTGTGTGGTTGGCACTAGTGTCCCCATTTAGAGGTAGAGACCAGGTCTCAGAGATGGTGAGTCGTGCGTCTGAGTTCCGTGCCGGGGTTGGAGCTCAGGCCTGCAGGCCTCTGAAACTGGGGTTCCCCTGCCCACTCCCGCAGCAGGATCCCACCTGGGTGTGGCTGGGCATGCCCGAACCTGCACCCTCTCCTCTCTGCCAGACTCGGGGGGGCCCCAGGCCTGCCTGTGGTGACCTGTTCCAGGAAGTGTATCCCAGCCAGCGGTGGTGAGTCATTCAGCAACCCAGCATATCAATCTTGGCCCCAGGAGGGCTTTGTCTGGGGCAGGTGGTGCAGGCGAGGGTGTGCACGCGTGTGTGTATGTGCACCTGCACCCAGGGTGTGAGCTGGAGGAGTCCTTCTAGAATAATGGTCGTTGCAACTCGGGCTAGAGCCCTGACTCGGCGGGCACCAGACATCCCGCCCTGTGAGGTGGTCGGGTCATTGTCCCTATTTTACAGATGAGGAAACTGAGGCCCCAAAGAGTCGAATTGCTTGTTCACCTGGAAGGTGGTGAAGCTGGGATTCAGATCTGTGAGGCCTGGGCCCAGGGCCGCTACGCTGCGCCTCTTGGGTCACCACTTGGCCCCGCGCCCTTTCTGTGCCCCGCTCTGCCGCTGGAACCTCCATCTGGGGGGTGGGGGTTCTCCTAGAGCGTCAGGATGGATTCCCCCAAAGCCAGTCAGCTGGGCTTAAGCCCGTTCCCCTCAGTGTCTGTCTCAGGTGACACTTCCCTCAGTGAGTCTACAAGAGGCTTCCCTCCTCCCCAGTGTGAGGCCGCCCCCACCAGCCCCAAATTCCATCACCCGCCCTCCTCACGACTCTGAGGGCCCCCGAGGGTCCCCGAGGGCCCCGTGGAGTGAAGAGTGGGGCAGAGGTATTTGGGTCTCACTTGGCCCCGTGGAAATGCTGGCAAGGGGTCCTTTCCCTGTGGGGTGAGCCTCCTACCCCTCCCCTGAAAGCCCAGCACCCATCACTGCCCCCCATGACCCTTCCGGAGTCAAGGAGGGATGGCGGCCCCCCCCCCATGGGGCCCAGGAGGGAGGGCCCTCTGCTTTCAGCCTGGAGCTGGGCAGGGGCCTCTGGGGGTGTGTTTCCCACCCTTCCTGCCATTCCATTAGCTGGAGCGGGATTCCTGGGGAGGGCAGGGGGGCACGGAGAGAAAACCGGTCCTTGTTTTTATTAACTTGGCCCCACCTGCCCTCCGTCCTCCCCTCCTCCCTCTCTCTCCTTCCTCAGTTTGCGTGTGTGTGGGGAGGCCCGACGAGGGTGCAGGGCAGCTGGGCTGCGGTCTCCCAGCGCGTCGGGAGCAGGGCCAGGAAACAGTGTCCCCACCCCTGTGCCCAGCACCAGGGGCCTAGACCTGCCCCCTGCCCGTGTGACTTGTTGCTGGCTCGGCTGGGGCTGGCTGAGGGCGCCCGGGTGTGCCAGCCTGCGGGTACCACCTCCATCACGAGCCCCTGAACCCCAGGCCTTTTACCTCTGACCCAAGCTGCCGGGGGGCGGGGGGGTGCAGGCAGTCCGTCCACAGACTGAGGGGAGGGCTGACTGGTGCCCCGGGCCTTCCGTGCCCAGGTACAAAAACGTACACGGTCCGTGCTCCGATTTTAATGCTAATGCACGTGTTTCTATGGTCCACGGTCCTTCTCTTCATCCTGTGCTACGTGAACGTTTTCCATTAGACCTTTACGTGGATTCTTACAGCGTTCCAAGATTCTGACTTGTGGATTATGAAGTGAGCATCACGCCTCTCTTCCCCTGTAGCTAAGCCCCATCTCCGGCATCTTTTAGCCGCGTGTCCGTGGGCGAGTCGCTGTAAGCCCCAGGCCGCTCAGCTGCTGGTTCGCGGACACGGGCTTGACCACAAAAGCTCTGCTCACTGGGAAACTGGTTTGGGTTTGATGTGAAGTGATGAGGGCCTCCACCGAAGCAGTGAGAATGGAAAGGACGAGGAAGACTGTCCGAAGGAGGGTTCTGTGGGCATTGGTGGATCTGCAAAGCCAGCGCTGCCTATAAATAATGGAGCGATTTAGGACAGACCGCCTCCTCATCCAGGGGGGCGCAGGTATCGTGGGGATGGTGACACAGAGCCGGCCCTGCAGCGGCGTGCACCATTCTCCACCTCCCCACGCCGCGCAAGGCTGGAGTGCTGCTTTTAGCCCCATTGTACAGGTGAGCAAACTGAGGCACAGAGAGGGTAAGTAACCTACCCAAGGTTACACAGCTGGGCATCAGGATACGAGCCCACTTTCTTAACTCTGTCCCCTCTTGCCTGCAGAGAACACTGTGATCTCTTCCCCCAGCATGCTTGTGTCTAGGGGGAAGAGATCACAGTGACCAAATCCTAAGAAAATGCGGTATACAGTTGCCTCGAAAGGGGACCCCGGCTTGCTCTGAGGGAGTCAAGGATGGCCTCTGAGGAAGGGCCATGTAGGCTGGGGCCTGGATGGGGAGTAAGTCAGTCTGAAGACAGGAGAAAGGGTGCTCCTGGCAGAAGGCACCGTGGGCCCAAAGGCCTCAGAAGGGGCCACACGCAGTGCTGAGCCGCGGTCAGAAGTGCGGTGTGGGTCGGCTGAATGGACAAAGCAGGGAGTTGGGGGACATGAGGTTAGGGACAGATTAGACAGGGTCTCAGGCCACAGAGAGGAGTTTAACATTATTCTGAGGGCAATGGGGAGCCATGGAAGGCTTCACAGCAGGGGAGTGGCATGGTAAGCCTGCTTCACTTGGAGAACTGCCAGGGCTCCTCCTCTGCCCTGAGCGAGGGCTGGCATCCAGGGTCAGCACTGCCTTGTTGAGACCTGGATGTGAGAATTGAGTGGGGCGAAGGGTACCCTCCAAGCTCTCGGCTTCATTTGGTAGGGGGGAGCGTCCTCAGGCTAGAAATGTCACATGTGGTGCCCTGAGCTCCCCACAATCAGAAGAGAGAACAGAGGCTCCAGGTGGGCGACCCAGGTCTCCTGGATGAGTGTCTGGGTTCCAGAGACCCCGCCCGAGGACGTGGCTGTCAGCCCAGGTC